GACAGACAGACAGACAGACAGACAGACAGACAGACAGACAGACAGACAGACAGACGGAGGCTCAGACAGGGAGAGACAGAGACAGAGACAGAAGCAGAGGGACAGAAAGACAGAGACACAGACAGAGACTGAGACAGAGACAGAGGGGCAGACAGACAGAGACAGAGACGGAGACAGAGACAAAGGCAGAGGGACAGACAGACAGAGACAGAGACGGAGACAGAGACAGAGGGACAGACAGACAGAGACAGAGACAGAGACAGAGACAGAGGGACAGACAGACAGAGACACAGGCAGAGAAAAGACGGAGACAGGGGGGCAGATAGACAGAGACAGAGTCGGAGACAGAGTCAGAGACAGAGACAAAGACAGAGACACAGGCAGAGAAACAGACGGAGACAGAGACAGAGGGATAGACAGACAAAGACAGAGACAGAGGGACAGACAGACAGAGACAGAGACAGAGGAGCAGACAGAAACGGTGACGGAGTTAGAGACAGAAACAGAGGGACAGACGGACAGAGACAGAGACAGAGACAGAAGGACAGACAGACAGAGACAGAGACGGAGACGGAGACAGAGACAAAGGCAGAGGAGCAGACAGAAACGGTGACGGAGTTAGAGATTGAAACAGAGAGACAGACGGACAGACAGACAGAGAGGGGAAAAGTCCGACGCTGGAAAACCCCAGGTCCTCACAATAGCTGTGACATTGCACGCCAGGATTAAAGTCGCCTTATGATGAAGTGAAATAGGATAGATCTATAATGCTGCATAACAGGGCCCACCCTTTGATCAATGGCCTGAGAATGCAAGTATTAGAAAGAGAAAATCCGAACCAGTGAAGTAAATTTTTGCATTACCAGCGCGTGACGCCAATACTTACACTTTTCAGGAGGGGGGTGGGGGGATTATCTCCACTTTTTGAATTTTTGAAATTCCATTTAGTTGTGATTTTGTTTGATGTTTTCTTTTTATGTTGCTGGTAACGGGGGCAGTAGTGGATTGTTTTGCTTTGTTTTGTTTATATCTGAATGTTTTTCTAAAAGCTGGAAAGAGTATTAATTTGTTTTGTTAGGGGGTTCGGATTATTTAGTCTTTTGTTTGTTTGTCTGTTTGTTTGTTTGTTTGTTTGTTTGTTTGTTTGTTTGTTTGTTTGTTTGTTTGTTTGTTTGTTTGTTTGTTTGTTTGTTGGGGGTGGGTTGTTGTTTTGTTTGGGGGTTGGGTTTTTTTGGTGGGGGGGTTTTCAGGAGGGTGGGATGGATGAGGACAGGAGTGTTGTTAGTTGTATTGTGTTATTTGTTTGTTGGTTACGTTGGGTTAAGATCGATATACTTCACTATGATTGAAAAATAGACTATTTCGAACCTTGATGTTTGACTGTGTGTGTATGTGTGCATGTGTGTGTGTGTGTGTGTGTGTGTGTGTGTGTGTGTGTGTGTGTGTGTGTGTGTGTGTTGTCCTGACCCTCAAATAGCGAAATGTCACACACCAATATCGCTACTCAAATCAACGCATTTATAAATGTAATTGAAGGAGACAGAAAAAACAAATGGTCTAAGAGTAAGACACTTTGTGATCGCTTCAGGAAAGGGTGCAAAGAACAGCTGGACTTACGTGCGATACTTCCGAGTTTGGGTTATTTGTAAAAGTTATAACTCTGATTTAAAACAATCCAGCTACGTCATGCAAATGTCATGCTGTGTAGTTTTCCCACTCCATGTACCATCATACCAAAAAATCTAATTTTGTAGCAAGATGTGATTTAGACCCTTAATGTTTCTGACCCTTTCAATTTTCGTCCATTATCTCTGTCATAATTCCTTCCCTCGTCCATTTCCCCTCCCCTTCTTTCTGCCCTTGTACATCAAGTTTTAGTATATTCTGTATAACAAAATGGTCTGTTTGTCTTAAGTTAGGCAGTTAACGTATTTTTTTTTTAAAAAGGTAAAACAAAACAAAACAGAAACCGCTCCACAACACCTGGGAACCCGGTCGTTAAGTGTCTGCAAATAAAACTGATGTAGAGAAAGCAGTTGGCCGTGTTTATGTCTCTCTGTGTGTGACAGACATCAAAAGTTGTTCCGTCAATTTGAGAATAATTTGCGCCAGTAAATACAGCTTTTCCTCCTTCTCTTCGCTCAGAAAAACCTCCATTCTTCGATCGTTATCTAGACGCGGGGCGATTTGCTCGCGGCTATAAAAACCGTTAAACGTTTTTGGTTTTATTTATTGCTGTTGTGTGCTCGCGTGTGAATACACAGAGGGTGAAAGACAGTTCCTGCGTTCGACTTGCAATGCTCCTTTGACTAGCTCTGGTTCCGTCGTTCCGCGCCTTTGCCGTATCGAGTCTTGATTGACTAGTGATTCTCCACGTCTCCGAGCTCTATTCAAGCGATCTGAAAACGTCTTTGACCCGCAGATGTGTGGGAGAAATGTTTCGGCTATGTTATCTCTATAACTAGATGGATGCTACTTTGAACTTTGTGTTTGTTCTCGGGCGTTTGACGCTAGGCAAGAAGGCCTCGGGTGTTTTTGCTTAAAGAACACAAAAAACACTTTCTGCCAGTCCCCTTCCTCGGCCGCCCCTATTCGCTAATCTCCCAGTCCATCGAATTTACGCGGATTATTATTTTGATCCTTGTTTAAAACGTTTTACATTTGTTTTGGACATGTGTGAACATTTCGAAGATTTGACTTCCCTTTACGTTTTTGTTCATGGTTCAAGGCACTCCCAGAAAGCACGCAGTAAATCTTCTATTCAGAGGTGATCGTTTTAATCCTCTACGGTTGCCTTTGACTCAGTCTCTGATGAAGACATTTTAGTGCCATATTACACTGGGTGCCCCCCGCCTTCATTTGGTAATTTCCTAATCGCCCTGCAGGGGGTGCTTTGATGAACCGGCCGACTGTCCCGCCCTCTGGTCTGACACAGTCGCAGACGACCTGGACGACCCCTAGTTAGTGCTGGCTGGTGTTGTTCTGTGTG